AAAAGGGTGGGGGGCGAGGGCAGTGCTTCTGGTGGGTCCGCTCGGCTTCATCCCGCCGTGCTCTGCGGGCGCCTGTGCCTGTCGCCGAGGCTTGTGCCCCGGCATGGGCCGGGCGCCGCTGCCCGAGGGCGTCCGCGCCGCGGTGGCAGGCGTGCGTACGCAGCCTGGGTTTGGGTCTCCCGCGCCGGGGACGGGGAGCTGGGCTCGGTGGGCCGGTGGCCTTGTGCTGGGGCAAAGCGGAGCCCCTCTAGTCCTCCTTGGTGGTGGGGCTGGGTAAGCCCCCACCCCTCGGTCTCTGAGGATCCAGGGGAGCTGTAGTAGCGTGTAAGGACCACCTAACGACTGTGTAAGGCTGGGCCAGAGAAACTAGCTTACACGGCCCGGGGCTTGAGGGTGTAATTGGACCTTGGCCTTCATGGCTGTCATGTGCTGACTTCAGAGTTGCTTGCTAAGGTCTAGCTGACGGCGGGAAAACATCGGTGTGCTTTGGGGCGAGCTTTTGTACATCTCACTGTTCTCTCTTGCGGAGTGTCTGTGTGGTAAGGGGGCTAATCTGGGGCCTTATCGTCAAGAGGTCTTTGTTCCTTGACGCGCGCGTGGCTGCGTGAAGCTTGCTGTCGAAGAATCTCGCTGCTGGAACGCAGCGTGTCGTGACGTTGGTTATCTTGGTACATGCTGAACAAACGGTGGTGTAATCTCACTTGACGAGACACGAGAGATGGTATACTCTGATAAATGATACACTTGCAACCAGGCCTGCAGCAAGCTATCATCACACCACCTTATCGCCATCCAGTTATAATGTAACCAGCTCTCTTGAAATTTAGTATATGATGAAGGGTGATGTGCATAGGAAATCCGTGTATTGTGGAAAAATCTGTGTATGTGGAGACCCATGCCTGAAAGGCTGTCACGATCTGCAGATCAGCCGTCCCTCCTTTCGTAACAGAATGATCTCTAAATTGTGCTCCCCCCCCCTCACCTCTCCCAGCTATTTTTGTGGTCGCAGAAGGGCACACAGTAGTACTTATTCCAGAAATCTCCAGTCTCGTAAACTGTTGTCTTCATTTTCGTTCTGTGTCAAAGGTTCTCTTTACTCTTACGTCACTCAACCTTTCTGTGGCATGTGGGCCTCTGTATGGGTGTCTCATATGACTTGGCAAATCGGTTCCTGTAAAGTGTCTTTGGTTCCTTGACTATGACGCTATAAAATACTACTGTAGTTAAGAAGTCCTATTGATGTTGTAGCTGGGTTCTGTTTAGGAGGCTATCACGCTCGCACCGTGTCATGTTCCTCGGTGTACGCCGTAAGAGGAAGTTGCTGGGGTGAGGTGAAAAAAGGTAGCTGGGGAACAACTGAACTCCTATCACTACAGGCTATGCTTGAGAATCCTATGTAGGCAACCCTGGGTGAAGCTGTGCTTGCTAGAAAGTTATTTAAACCCTGGTTTTGCTAGAACGTCAGATCTAGCAAGTTGCCACCAAGTGAAACTTTCCTTTTTTATGTTTTCTTGAAACAAGGAAAGGAATTACAAACCCCAGCCACTTTATTTTTTTAAATATATATATATATATATATTTAAATGAAACCTGATGCTAGTCTTGAGGATGGGTGCAAATCTAGCATGCTTATGTTATTTCCCATTCTCTTTTTTACTTTGGTCTTCTGAACCAATAATGGTTAAATGAGCCTTCCGTCTGAGCTCATCAGTATTAAGTTTGCAAGGCAAGATGTATGTAGATACGTATGCGTGTGTGCATGTGAGGTCTGATGGGCTGAAATCCTGACAGAACACTTCAGGAATCTGCATTTGGACAGCAGCATCCAAATAGAAAACCAGTCGTGGTTTCACCTGCTGCTTGCGGACTTCTTTTTGAATGACTTGATCTTTGGTGGAAGTCTGTGATGTTATTATTTATTAGCCATAGCCAGCGTAGCACTGTGCACAGCAGAGAAGTCTTTAGTGTCTCTTTCTAACCAGTTGGTTTTGCTTTGTCAGGCTTCCAGTACAATAAAGCTAAAGCATTTTAAAAGTATTTTAGAAGTAGGTGTGTGGATGTACTTTCTTTGTGAAGTATGTGGTAAACGCTTTGTATATAGCAAGCACAGCAAAAGAGAGACCATATATTAGAGCAGTTGTAAGTAATATAGGTGAGTGAGAAATGCTGGAACCCTTTATACCATTTCAGGATAAAATACGTTTGTTTAAGTAGTTTGAGATTCTAGATTAACTAATAGGTCGTAGAGGAAACGCGCACCGGGATTTTCCAGGTAGTAAAATGCCAGGAAGTGAACTGTCCTCAGCTGTGCTTTGAAATCTGCCTTGTCAAGAGTTTAAATAGTTTTTACTTGCATGGTTTTACTCTCTCTTTACAAGTTCTGAAGGTGGTTCTAAATTATATTTAAAATAGTCATAAGTTACTTCAAAATTGTGTAACCTGAGCAGCTTTTAGTATCAGGAAGTGGTAAAAAACTGGCTAGATGACTCAGACAGTTGTGGTGCATGGAGTTAAATCCAGTTGGCGGCCAGTCACAAGTGGTGTTCCCCAGGGCTCAGTATTGGGGCCAGTTCTGTTCAATATCTTTACCAATGATCTGGACAAGGGGATGGAGTGCACCCTCAGTAAGTTTGCAGACAACACCAAGTTGGGCGGGAGTGTCGATCTGCTGGAGGGTGGGAAGGCCCTACAGAGGGATCTGGCCAACTGTTTGAGGTTCAACAAGGCCAAGTGCCGGGTCCTGCACTTGGGTCACAACAACCCCATGCAACGCTACCGGCTTGGGGAAGAGTGGCTGGAGAGCTGCCTGGAGGAAAAGGACCTGGGGGTGTTGGTTGACAGCCACCTGAACATGAGCTGGCTGTGTGCTCAGGTGGCCAAGAAGGCGAATGGCATTATGGCTTGCATCAGGAATAGTGTGGCCAGCAGGACTAGGGAAGTGATCATCCCCCTGTACTTGGCACTGGTGAGACCGCACCTGTAATACTGTGTTCAGTTTTGGGCCCCTCACTACAAGAAGGACATCGAGGTGCTGGAGCGTGTCCAAAGAAGGGCAACGAAGCTGGTGAAGGGTCTGGAGCACAAGTCTTTTGAGGAGCGGCTGAGGGAGCTGGGGTTGTTTAGCCTGGGGAAGAGGAGGCTGAGGGGAGACCTTATCGCTCTCTATAGCTACCTGAAAGGAGGTTGTGGCGAGGTGGGGATCGGTCTCTTCTCCCAAGTAACAAGCGACAGGACAAGAGGACATGGCCTCAAGTTGTGCCAGGGGAGGTTTAGATTGGATATTAGGAAAAACTTCTTCACCGAAAGAGTAGTCAGGCATTGGAACAGGCTGCCCAGGGAAGTGGTTGAGTCTCCATCCCTGGAGGGATTTAAAAGATGGGGAGATGTGGTGCTTAGGGACATGGTTTAGTGGTGGAGCTGGCTGTGTTAGGTTAATGGTTGGACTTGTTGATCTAAAAGCCCTCTTCCAACCTAAATGATTCTATGATTCTTACACTAGTCCTCAGTGATTCTCTCCTGCAAAAGAAACAGTAAGTCTACATTTTTAGCTCCTTCTGAATTGTAAAAAAGATGGGAAAAAACTTTGGTCAGCACAGACAGTAATTTGATATTTAAGGATAGTCTTGAACTGCATTGTTCAAGGCCAAGGGTATAATTTGCTTTCATATGCTGAGACCAAAACCATTATCAGCCTATCTTTAATGATTATCTGCTGCCCTAGCAAAAAAGTTTAAGGCTTTGTTTTTTTTTTTTTTCCTTTCTTTTGTTGAACAGTGTAGTCAAATGGATTAAGTATTGTACAGAAAGAGAGACAGTTAAAGAGCATCTCTTATTTAAGATGACTACTTGTTCTGTTTTTCAAAACCTACTTCTAGTGTGTTAATTATGTGAGTCAGAAGAAGGATGGATCAATCAAAAGTCTTCACAGAGTAACAGTAAGAAATGTTCCTACTGGCTAGCCCTTATTTTTGTTACAGATCAAAGGCTCACAAAGCCTAACCCTTAAACAAAAAATAAATACAAAGATAAAAGAATGCATTTTCTCTTTGTAATACCGAAAGATTGTCCTAAATTACGTATCTGAAACAAGAATCGTGCCTCTAGATTTGTACTTCAAATGAAGCTTGTGGAAGCATGGTTTTCTTCCTTGCCCCTGTTTTTGTTCTTCTAAGAAAGGTAAACAAGGGACAGATGAGTTGGGAAAAAAAACAACAGCCAAACAAAACAAACTCCGGACCCCTCCTGGAAGGCTTATTCATGGCTATGTAAATAGCATTTTCTTGTTATGTGGATGTCAGTATTTGTAGTTGCAGAAGTCCAGTGAATACCATGTGCAAGGTGAGGCCACGGAAAAGACTTGTAATCCAAAAGGTCCTAACAAGGTGGTTCCTGGCAGTCTGGATTTCTAGGGAGGGGCTTCGCCAGAGTTTACCAGAAGTGCTTGTCCAGATTAACCCACCTATGAAGAAAGGATGGTTCTGGCCCTCTAGGAGCTCTGATGTACTGTGAGAACTTTGAACTTCTGAGAAGATTGTAGGAGATGGACATTGGACCTGTATGGTAAGCTGGAAGAGGAGTAGGACAGGTCTAAGAGAGGACAAGAAAGCAGAAAACTCCTTGAAACTAAATAAAATAAAATAGGGGTGGTGGTCACTCTTTCAGCTCTTAACATTGCTTGAAGACAGACTAGACTGAGGCAAAGAACTGGAAAAAATATTGGAATCTCACTTAACAGTAGTTGTTCACATTTGTGTAGCACTGTAAACTAAGAGATTCCAAGTTTCTTTACAAACTTTTTACAGAAATCTTTTCAACTACTAATGCGAAATAATAAATTTGAAAAATTAGAGTAATTTCAGCCTGCCTAAAAGCAGTGCAGCTAGGACTGCTGTTGTGCTATGGACTCTAAATTGCAACACTGAGCAGAGTCTCTAATAAACAGGGAGCGAGGCTGACTGAAAGGTCATCATCTGAGGTCAAGTCTAAGTGTGTGATAGTAGTATTGATAACCGTTCCTACAAATCACTTAATTGGGGCAACTTGTTAAATAAACTTTTGCCCTGAAAATACAGAAATGCTGAGGGATGTTCCCACAGGTTGACTATATTACAGCTGGAAAGCTGAAAAAAGCATTTTAAGATGCATTAAAGT